AAGAGAGACAAGAGATCCAAACAGAAACAAGGGGAGGGATGGAGTCACATGGTCATGTGCAAAACCAAAATCAGAAAGGTCGAACTAGGGCCTACACTCATTAGAAGTTCCCTATTCTGTCTGATAAACTAGCTCCTCAACCCAAAGTTCAGTCTGTCACAGGGTGCGCTAGCCCCAGCCTTCCACAAACCACCCTGGAGGACAGTGAGATGAGGAACTGGGAAGGGGACAAGATCCCTCCAGGAGAACTCGGTCACTCAGACGATCACTTTGCTAATGGGGGCTCAGAATCAATAAGATGCTCAGGGTCAGTTTGACCAGGAAGAGTGGCGGAGGGGCAGAGGACATGTGCTAGCTAATCCCCACCACTTCTCCCCCCACAAAAGGCCCCGTGGGAATCAGTTCCTCTCAGTGGTGCTGTCTGAATGCAGAGGGGGCAAGGAGAAGGTGCAGAGGGGGTGAGTGATGAGGCAGCACCTCTTTACTCCTGTGCTCTCCCTCGCCTCTTATCCCATGATCCCCAAACACTCGATAGCCCAGCACCCAGCTCCACCAGCCCCAACCATTCAATCCCCATCGCCCTGGTGCCTTAACATTGGATCCCCCAGAGCCCAGCGCCTGGGGGATTTGGGGAGGGGAGGAGTTATCAGCCCCCAGGGACACTCCCCCTGCAGGGAACAGCTCCAGGTCAGTTGGGGAGCCCAGCCTAGGGGCTGGGGAAGTTCAGGGGTGGGGACAGGTGTATAGAGTGAAGGTGGGGCCTGGCCCAAGTGTCCTTCTCATCTCCATGGCAAGGGAATCCCGGCTGGGAGGGGAAGGGAGAGGGGGGAACTTCAGCCAGGCAGAGGGAGCAGCTGGAGGAGTTTCTTTCTCTCCCTTCCCCCGCCTGTTACCCATCAGCTCAGCAGTCAGGGCTGCAGCAGGGAGGAGGGGCTGCATCATCTCGTATAACCCACAGGAAACTTTTCCCCACAATCGAGGCATTTGTGGGGTTTCTCTCCAGTATGGATTTTCTGATGTCTCGTAAGGGTTGATCTCTGAGTGAAACTTTTCCCACAGTCCAGGCATTTGTAGCTTCTCTCTCCTGTGTGGATTCTCTGATGTCTAAGAAGGTATGAGCTGTGACAGAAGCTCTTCCCACACTCCAGGCATTTATGGGGTTTTTCTCCTTTGTGGATCATCTCATGTGAAATCAGATTTGATCGCTGAGTGAAACTCTTCCCACAGTCTAAGCATTTATAAAGTTTCTCTCCTGTGTGGATTTTCTGGTGTGTAGTAAGGGCTGATCGCTGAATGAAGCTTTTCCCACAGTCCAAGCACTTGTGGGGTTTCTCTCCTGTGTGGATTTTCTCATGTGAACTAAGGGTTGATCCGTGAGCGAAACTTTTCCCACAGTCGAGGCATTTGTGAGGTTTAGCTCCAGTGTGGATTCTCTGATGTCTGATAAGGATGGATCTCTGTGTGAAACTGTTCCCACAGTTGAGACACTTATAGGGTCTCTCTCCTGTGTGCACTCTCTGATGCGTATTAAGGTGTGAGCTCTGACTGAAGCTTTTCCCGCAGTCCAGGCACTTATAAGGTCTCTCTCCTGTGTGGATTCTCCCATGTTTAATAAGCTGTGAGCTGTCACTGAAAGTTTTCCCACAGTCCAAGCACTTATGGTTTTTTTCGCCTGTGTGGATTCTCTGATGAGCGATAAGGTTCGATTTCTGAATGAAGCTTCTCCCACAGTTGAGACATTTATAAGGTTTTTCTTTCTTGGGATTTGTCTGCTGGACTGAGGTTTCCTCAGGATTCTTGCATCCTACCCCATATTCAATGGATTCATCCTCTTTCTTCATTGGGTGGATTCCCAGCTGCCTCTCTGATCTCTGCTGACTCCTCCAAGCTTTTCTCTGTTTCAAGGATTGGGAAAAATCCCCTTCAGCTCTTCTCAAAAAGTTCCCCTGCAGTTCCACTTGCTCGGGATCTACCTGTTGTGGATTCTTCTCCTTGTTCTCACTCATCATGGTCTCATCACCTATTGGGAGAGAGAATCCAGACAGGAGTCATTCCCTGTGCCGGACAGAACGGGGAGCAGCAAACAGGGGAAAACACAACACGATAACTGTTGGGGAGATGGAGAAATTGGATTCTGCCTCCACATCCCACCCAAACACTCTTAGGCAAGAAAAGTCGGGGAGGAAACTTCATACAGCTAAAGGATGGGTGGGAAGCCATGGGTGATATCTGCAATGATGATACCATACTGGCTGGCTACCTCGAGGAGATTGATAGCAGCCCACCTTTGGGTCTCAGCTTTTTCATTCACTCGCCAGATGGTTTGTGTGTCAGTTTCACCAATTCCTCACCTGTGTGTCTGCCTCTTGGGAGATCCAGGACCCACAGCTCGTCCCCTTGTTCCAGCCGGGTGATCAGGTCAGGTTTGGGAATGGGAAATCCTGCTCGGAGTGGGGGAGTCCATCAGGAAGATGAAGGTGCATGGAGTATTGAGAGAGTACTGGTCACAAAGAACATTCCCTGAGTTTAACCTGCCCCCATGCTAGAGTGACCAGACAGCAAATGTGAAAAATCAGGACAGGGGGTGGGGGGTAATAGGAGCCTATATAAGAAAAAGACCCAAAAATCAGGACTGTACCTATAAAATCGGGACATCTGGTCACCCTACCCTGTGCTGAGCTGGGGGATTGTGGAATCCAAAAGGACGGGAACATGGTCATTGTAATTATGCAGATGTGGAATCTTAAACTGGGACATGGCCACTGAGCCCCCAGGGAGAGGCAGATGTCTGTGTGGGGAGGAGCTGTCACAGCTTCACTGGGGGTTTCCAGGATCTGTGTATTCTGGGGGACTTGCTGATACAGACACAGGTCTGGTGTCAAACCCCTGCCTAGTTCTAAACCTCCAGAGCCCTCTGGCTGGAGCCAGTCCCAGCAATGGAGGATCATAGGGGATGGTGAGTGTAAAATAAGAGACACAAGGTGGGTGACGCAATATCTTTTCTTGGGCCATCTCCTGTGGGTGAACATAAGAACAGCCACACTGGGTCAGACCAACGGTCCATCTAGCCCAGTGTCCTGTCTTCCGACAGCAGCCAATGCCAACTGCTTCAGAGGGAATGAACAGAACAGGTGATCATCAAGTGATCCAAAACAAAATAACAAGCTTCAAAAGCTTCTCTCTTTCACCAACCATATTTGGTCCAATCAAAGGTACTGCCTTCCCCACCTTTTGTCCGTCTATCCTGGGATGAACGGGGCCACACCAACAGTACAAACAAGTGATAAATAATACAAACAGGACCATACACTGCTTCTGCCTCTTTGAAAGCCGGATGGATGGGGATGAATTAGCGTGTCCATTAGGTTTATGACTCCCCGATCCCATTGGAGGGGGCATGAAGATGAAAGTCTCTCCACACTAGGTCTATGGACTCTGGGATCCATTCCCCTCTGATCGAACTGAGCAGGGAAGAACTCACCAGATTCAGACACACAGACCCCACAGTTTCTAATAGCTGAAGGCACAGGAATCCCTTACCCAGCGAGGTCACCATCTCATAGTTCTCCTGCATGACGTCCCTGTAGAGGGCTCTCTGAGTGGGGTCCAACAGCGCCCCCTGTCCCTGGGTGAAATACACAGCCACCTCCTCGAAGGTCACCAGCATCTGAAACAAGAGTCCCCCACTCAGCACCTGTTTCCCCAGCCACTATCTCACTGTTCATTGTGAGGGTGGGGGGAGGGGAGAAAGTCATTAAAGAGAAAGCTCTGGGAGGGCCAGAGTATGACAATCTAACCCCCACTCTGCTCAGAGCAGCCAGGAGGCTTCAGGGGGTGGGGAAAAGGTGAGAGCTCAGTGTGCCCCCAGCAGACAGAGCAGGGCAGGGTCTTCTCGTTTACCACACGCCTGCCAGCCACAGGCTGATGCAGGAAGCAGAGCTCTGAGCCAGGGACAGGAATCCCAAGAGCTTTCCTTCGTATTTCACAGCAGTCTCTGGCCAGTGGGTTCAGGCTCCAGGGGGGGTGTTTCCTGTTTCAGAAATCAGGTCCCAAGCTGAATGAGTCCCACCAGCTTTATCACACCCTGTCCCCTCCCCCTCCACAACAAAAGCACCAGCAGCTCTCTGAAAATCCCCTACCTGAGCAGGCTCCATCACAGCCATTTCCCTTCCCTGTCTCCTGGAGCGAAACGTGGACGTGATTCCTCAGCCTGTCAGGGCGAGAGGGGAGGTTTCAGAAAGGGCTTGAGTCCATTTCACACCCCGATTCCCCCCAGGCTCTCTTCCTGCAGACAGACGCTCTAGACTTTGCCACATTGGGAATACACTCAGGTTATGTCCACACTACAAGTGTTACAGGCACACTGCTATAGTTCTGTAATGTGGAGACTGCCTTCAGCAATGGAAGGGGTTTGTGCATTGGTGTGGGTAATCCACCTCTCCAATTGGCAGTAGCTCGTTCAATGGAAGAATTATTCTGTCTATCAAGCTGCATCCACAATGGAGGTCAGGTTTAAAACAAATAAAAGGAAGTATTTCTTCACACAATGCCCAGTCAACCTGTGGAACTCTTTTCCAGAGGATGTTGTGAAGGTCAAGACCATAACAGGGTTCAAAAAAGAACTGGGTAAGTTCATGGAGGATAGGTCCATCAACCGTTATTAGCCTGGATGGACAGGGATGGTGTCCCTAGTCGGTGTTTGCCAGAAGCTGGGAATGAGCGACAGGGGATGGATCACTTGATGATTCCCTGTTCTATTCACTCCCTCTGGGGCACCTGGCATTGGCCACTGTCGGGAGACAGGATACTGGGCTAGATGGACCTTTGGTCTGACCCAATAGGATCATTCTTATGTTCTGGTCGACCTAACTAGCTCAGGGCTTAAAACTCTTCCTAGCCCTGAGTGATGCAAAAGATGGATCTGATTGTTAACTGTAGACCAGGTCTTACAACACAGACCTGGCCTCTCCTAGCAGGCTAAACCCACTAACACTTCTAAACTCTCCCAGCAACAGAGCTGTCACAGTCCAGGGCAACTGCTCCTGTATTTACACTCAGTGATCCAGCAAGGGCACCTACTAGGCAGCTCCCTAGCTATCGCCTCTTGTGGATGGAGACCCACGTCTCTCTCCCTTCTGACTGGGGTATTTCTAGGCTGTTCCCTGAGTGTGTAAGGAGGCCTGATTTACTCCTCTGCTCTGACATCATACAGTGTAATTCCCCCAGAGATAATTTTCCACACAGCTCTTTCTAGGCTTATTTCATTCTTATGGTAAAAGCACTACAAGAAAAAAAAACATATTCAAAACAATAAAAGAACTTACATGCATGCTAATAACTTCCCAGAGACCCCCCCCTCTCTGCCACAGGAGCTCGGGCAGGAACAGGCCTTCAAAAGTTTGAAAGCCCCACCATGGCATTTCCCTGGGATTTCAGGTTCATCACACTCTTTGCTCAGAATGAGAACCCATGGCTCTGGCCATGCCTGCACTGGTGAGCTTACAGCTGTACCGATGCAGCTGCGCCGCTGTAAGCTCGCTCGTGTCACCGCTCTATGCTCTCTCCCAAGCTCTTCCCCAGTGACATCACAATGCCCCCTCCGCAAGCAGTGGTAGCTCTATTGGTGGGAGAAGCTCTCCCACCGACACTGCGCTGTGCACACTGTCACTCATGTCGGCGAAACTTACGTCGCTCAGGGGTGTGTGTGTTTTTT